GTCGATGAGTGTATGAGTTGGAGTGATACCTTGAGAGATTGTGTGAGAGGGTGTTTAGGTTATGAGTATGATGCGAAATCCTAGTTTTCTAATATCATGATGAGCTACCGAAAAGCCATCTGAGGTAAACCTGAGTGAAAGTCAGCCCGGAGGTTGCAAGACAGAAACAATACTGCAAGACAGAAACAATACAAAGAGTACCAAGTGTCACGTATTAAATAATTTATTGACGAGTTTGAATTCTCATGCCATTGTCACTCCCAGAAGTATTGCAGGTGTTCAACTCAAAGGACACGCAATGCAGCGTAATACACACATCACTACTGAAATTCTCAAATATAGCATCACATAAGTCGATTGCGACCTTGTCTTAATATTCTAGGGGGAAAATTTCCAAAGAGTACACTCAGGTATCTGCACACAGCTACCAATTGTAAACTTACTTAAATCGTGACTCTAGCCAATCGCTATTCAGAACATGCGAATTGCGGCTGCTAATTTGGATGCGGTATCTTCGACAAACCGAAGTACCTCTTGCGCAATGACAAAACACTCAACTCACATACGTGCGGAGAATGCAGTCATCAAAACTAAGAGAAAATAAATTTGAGAAAAAGCCCCCAAGGCCAATGACGTGGACCTCTTTATTCCTAACTAACACAAAACTATCACTCGCTCTGATGCGAGCTCCGAATAGGTCCTACACTTGTGGAGTCGGCAGTTGCCTTCCCCTCTAACTTCCGCTCTAAATCTAACCTTTGCAAAACGGCTGTTAGCTTTAACTCCAAGTTCGCTACCGCGTCACGCGATCTTGTGAGGAACGCATCAAGCTTATTGGTTAACCGGCGCTGCCCTTTAACACTTCATGCTATCATTTCCGTCGCACGGTGCTCAAGATCTCGTAACCGTAGCCATTTATGCGTCTCGACCTACCATAAAATATACCCTCGCAAGCATCGGTTCACCCTCACGGTCAAGACGTCATTTGTCTGTTTTGATAACTGCCGGTTCTTCTCCTCGGCCTACGACAATCTTGTCTCCATCTCGCATAACTGCTCCTTAGCTTGTGTCCATTGTGACCTCAACTCGCTGCATTGAGTATCTAGCTTCTCAATCAACTCTAAGTCCGAGATGCTCGCAGATTCACAATGTGCCAACTTCTTCGCCTTCGCTGCTAGCTCGGTTTCATACTCCTGCTCCTTCATTCCGATGTTGCCGTCAACTTGTCCACCCTCAGCATTTCAGTGTTGTAGGCGGTCCGAGATACCTCCAACCTACTCAGGAGATCCACTGTTACACACTTGGCCTTCTCAACATCCTCGCGAAGACCCTCATAGACCTTCTCTGAATACCTGTAACACTAGGGTTTAGAGAGAAGCTCACTCGAAGATAGAAACGTAAACTCTGAAGATGAGAGATACCAACAATGGTTCTACTCTTCCTTATATAGCTCTCACCAACAAGTACAAGGAGATAAGATCTAATCCCCACCATCCATCCCACTCCTAGTGGATGAATGACGTGGCGGATAACCCTAACAAGCACACGGATCGCTGACGTGGCGCACCCAACTAACACACTCAATCCTTACCTACAAGCACACGGATTGCTGACCTGGCATTTTCAACTAACACATCCACTATGTACCTACCAAGTGCGCGGATCGCTGACGTGGCAGCTAGCTCTAGTGCACACTAAAGTATCTACATCAATATTTAGAGTAACCTCTACTTTAGTTCTAACTAACTAAAGATGGTTACAATATCTCCGCTTCTCGACTTCCTCGGTCAATCTCTTCCAAAATACCCAGTACTTTGCCCCCGTCGACTGCATCTGCCGTTCCTTCACTGCGACCATAGAGGCTGTTGCCACCTTTGTCCGCGTCTTGTTACGTACTAGCTCCACGTAAGATTTGTTGGTGGTCGCTCCTCCATACTTCTTCTGCTTACGGTTGAGGTACTAGAGTAACAGAAGTACTTGTCCACATAGAACGTCGGCGGCGCTGAATGCTTGTGACTGTGGCTCTTCCGTCGAATGATCTTCACCCGTCTCCAGTATGACTGTCTCGATGGACGTCCGTGGTGACACCACCTTTTGTGATCCACACGCTGCTCCATCTACGTCTTCTAAGGCCCTCTCAATTACTTTTTCTAGGGCTACAAGGTCTTCCTCAGTGTCTCTCAATGTATAGACATTGCCAACACTTAAGCGGTTTTCTCCAAAGGGGTCTTCATCCTAATACCCGCCGAAGTAAGTTCATCCTGTCTTGAAGGTACTTCCTCCGTCATGATTGTCTTGCATTTCTCTTTCCTCATAACCTGGCTTGGCTATACGGGCGTAGGCCTTACCTCAGAAGTCCGAGGTCGCTTCTTCGCAAATGCTTACTTCTCTCTCACAATATTCACTTTTGACCCCGCTTCTCGAGTGGGACGCTCTTTTGATACAACAGCTCTACTCTCTATGCTGCTGTCCGCTTCCAATATCAACCTTCTAGCTTTCATCTTCGACTTGGCTCGAGAATTCGACGATCGCAATTCGATGAGAGCTGCCCGGCGTAAATTCGATGAGATGAATTCGATGAGAGCTGCTACAGTGACCTCATCAATCCTCTTTCTCTTCCTTCTCTTCCTTCTCTTCCTTGGTTGTGAATCATGTCTGCCTCTGGGCCATTTTCTTCTCTCCTTAGGCGAATTACGTAGCTCGTCCTCAGGATCCATGTCGACCTCATTGGCACTCACCACCTCTTCTCCTTCCTGTGCCACGGTTCGCAACGAGAATTCTCTACTCTCTTCGGCAGTCAGCAAGCCCATACTTCTATAGAAATTAATCAAGAATGGGGACAAGTAACAGGCTGACCCTCTGGAATTAGCCCGATGTGTTGCCGGGTAGCCGTCCAGAGGATGCGCGCCCAGTGAAAGCGATGTCCTCGCAATGCTCTTTCCACAAACCCAACCTGCCAAATCATCATGTAAGTGGTTTGAGCCTGATGAATAATCTCCATCAACGCCATTGCGATATTTAGTCTGAGTCGGTCGTGATACCAAATGGTGCGATAGCCATTCTTCCCGGTGCGGTGGTGCTTAAACAAAGTCGCATAAGCCTTTTACTCCTCTCTTGTTACCTTGACACTCTCATTGTCAAAGGTAAAATCGCTATCGTCACTTGCGCAACGTCCGAGAACCTTCTTTCAATCCCAAATTTGCCACGTCTTAGGATTTCCTCGATAGCCCACTGGCTTCGGCAAACCATCGTTGTCCCATTCTTGCACTATTGTCGCGCTCGCCCAATTCCAACCCCACAACAAAAATTTCATCTTCACGAGTATTAATTCGCAATCCTGCTTCGGGAACCTTCAAAGCAGATAATCGTATCGAATGCGTCATCGTTGTTTCCTCTCGTTCGAGCTTCCGCACCCCAATCTCTCGTCAATTGCGAAATGTGTTTGTGGAATGTGGGCACCAAACTCTCGTCCCCTCAGGTAAATCCCGCCGTCGCAACGGTTTTCCATTCGTGTGAATTGAAGGTGCTGCCATTCAAACTTTTTTCCCATGCAGCGCTATCTTTTACTTCCCTGGTATCCTTCGCCGCTTGGGTGCCCGCGGGGACTCCAAGGTCCTTATCTTCGAATACCCCTGCCCGAATACCTGACTTGGTATTTGGAGGAGCTAGGTCTTCGTACCTCCTACTTCTACTTGGGACTTCCCCATCCGTTCCTTCAGATTAGGACCTCGCCAACCTCTGAAGACTGACTGCTTCTAGTGAAGATCCTTTGGGCTACTATTCCTTCTTTAACTCTACAATAAAAGGCCTATTCTATTCTAATCTAACTACTATTACCTTAAAAGTTAAAAATTACATGGATTTCCCTTCTTAACTACTCTATTTCTGAAAAAACGAAGAAACTGCACTAACACAAGGTGACCGGAGTCTTTTGTCCTTGCAACCCTTCCTCGTTGTCATCTGGATTTAAAATGTCGCCATGGGTGCATGGTGTTTGACATAGTCTATATGCAACAATATCCGGTACAGAATACAATCTGTATATGTAGAACAATTCTTTACTGATACCGGAGATTGCTGTAAATAAATTGTGTCGGAAACCATGCACCCATGGCATACTTTTAGATCCAGCTGAAAACGACGAAGGGATGCAAGCACAAAAGCCGTAGGCCACCTTGCCCTCTTTACAAAAGCTAATAACCTAGAAAATCCAAGGAGGAACGCTGGTGAATGAGCTCATGTTGAAGTTTGCAGCGGTCTCTGTCTTTGCACACATCAGCGGAGCCCAACCGATCATGCCCTGCTCAAGGTTTGGGGATGAGTACTTGAAAAACTCACTCAGAACTTGATACCCGACTCAGTCACTTGAACCTTGTCAAGCTCTAGCCTTCAGCGGTCCCCAACGCAGTCTTTCGTTTCAGGTCGTTAAAGGGGAGACCTCCGAATTCACGACAAATCGACAAAAGTAACTATTTTCATGTTTGGTCCTTTACGGACAAACGAGCCCTTTAAGTGAAAAACTTCAGGAGAATGTTCTCGGGCCGAAGCGAGGCCCGAGAAGACGACGAGCCGCCGCAGTCGTCGAGCTCCAGTCCGGCCTCCCGTAGTGACCTTTAACGAGCATATGTATCCTTCAGACTCAACACCAAAGCATTGGGCGGTTGACTTTGTCAAATCGAAAAAAAATAATTGCGTCCCTACTCTGCTTTGAAGTGAAACGATCCAGTTCTCAGAGCAAATCAGCTTCAGCCACGCTCTGACCACACGCGCGTGTCAGCCCTGACCTTGTCTCCGGAGTTCCATGGTTCCATGGCAATCCTTTATAAGCAGCAGGAGATCCCGATCTACAACATCATTATCCAACCCCGTACAAAACCGACTGAGGACTGGCTCAGAAGCGTACAGGATCCCATCTCCCGATCAAACCCCACAATTCAATTCTTCAACATCCTTTGCCTCTGCTGTCAACTTCCAAGGACCACCAGAAACACATCACAGAAATGGCGGTTTTCGCTGTTTCCTGTGTCTTACCGGTGGACAGTACTTCGCTTGTTCTTCCCAGATTGGGGCATACAAAATTGCAATCCCAAGGTCGACATCGCAGTGCGAACATTAGTCCTCCCAACAGACGCACACTCATCAGAGCCGGTTTAGCTTTGACAAAGGAGAAAGTAGTTGACGCTGGCAAGGTAGAATTTGTCAATGACAGGGCTGCCGATGACTCAAAGGGCTGGACAAATGCCATTAATCTGCCAGACCAGCGGGTTGTCAGTCAATTCGAAGCACTCTCAGTGTTGGTGTCTGACAGGGTCGAGATGCACTCAATTCTCGCACTCCAGCGGGACAACTGGAACCGACTCTTCCACAATACCATCACCATCTTCCACAATACCATCACACCTCCGTTGCTGCTGCCATCGCCTCGGCAGTCAATGGCGCTGTACCCGCTTCCGGTTTAAAGGTCCTGGCGATTATTCTCGGTATGGGAGCAGCTGCGCTTATGGCGCTCGTGAGCAAGTTCCAGCCGTCGCAGCTTGCCGAAGAGCAAAGACATGCTGCTCGCTTCTTCAAGAGATTGGGAGCTGATGTGGAGGCCACTTTACAGGTTGATCCGCGACTGCGCGCAGAAGCATCTATCTATTGGGAGCAGTCGATCGCCACCGTGCATGCTCTAGACCGAGCTTTCCCCTGCCACTCACGCCCATTGTGGTGGAGAAGTTCCCCAAGCAAGTGCTTCCATCGAAGATCAGTGGCGATGTAGATCTCGCCAGACCTGAGGTTGAAGTGTACCCAAATTCTCATACAAATGGATGGACAAGGTCTGCAGTGGAAGACCTCAGGCACACTGCTGAACTTCTGCGCACTTCAGACATTTCAGAATACACAAGTATGGCCAACAGTGCCAAGGGTCTCAACCTGATTTTGTCGATCACTTCTCCCATGATCGCTACAGCGGGTGTTGTTTTAAACATGGCTGGCTGTCCAGCTGTAGCTGCAGCAGTTACCGTGGGCTCCCTCTTCGTGCATACGCTGACACACGCTCTTCAGATGGGCGCTGTGATTGAGGTGTACAGAAACTGCGCGGGCTATTATGCTGCAGTCGAGAGGTCCATCGAGCAAACGCTGCGCTTACCTGTTGAGCAACGTGAAGATGCAACCATCTTCCAGCAAAAGATCGCAGTGCTACTTGGAAGGAGACCAGCAGTGACACCGATGGTGCCCCTCGACAATAAAACTGCCGGAGTTTTGTTCTGAAACCTGGTCAGCTCAGCTCATCGTAACTTCGGGCCACTGACTAGTGGCCAATTATTAGAAGAAAGCAATGGTGATGCTCCTAGACGTTGGTCCACCAAACCAATTTACCGCGATAGGTAGGACTGCAGAGTAAATTCGAACATCATGGACCCCATGGAATGTGGGATTCACGACAATAGCAGAAAGTAGAGAAGTAGCTGTGCAGGGGGGATTCCATTACAAATCCCCATATAGGTCGTACAAATGAAAATGTACAATGTCATGACAATAACATGTAAATATCAATTCACCCGACTCAGTGTGAAAACATTCCTCCCCTACAAAGTTTTGTGTTATGAGAATTCGATATAATGTCTTGTCGGAACCATTTATTTGTTCTCATAGAAGATCTCAAGTAAATGTCTGGCTTTGGTCGAAAAATCAAACAACTAAGAAATGCAAGCGTGTTGTTCTGAATGTTCTGCTGTTGGAGCACTTCGACCAAATTCTCTTGTATGAAACCACATATTCATGCCGTATTCTTCAAGAAACGATTTGAGCACGGCTTCGTTTCTGAACATGTAAATAAATTTCGAGTTGATCCCATCATATCTCGTATGTATGATGGGCTTTAGAGTTCATGATGTATAGTTTATTGAGAGAATGGAACGAGACCAAAGTAGCTAAGCCTGGAAACCTGTTCAGCTCAGCTCATCGTAACTTCGGGCCACTAGTGGTCATCTCTTACATAAAACCATCGGTGATGCTCCTAGATCTTGGTCCAACTAATCAACTTTGCCACAATATGTATATCTAGGACTGTAGTGTAAAGTCGAGCGTCATGGAACCCATAGAATGTGGGATTCACGATAATTGCAGAAAGTAGAGAAGGGGGATTCCATTACAAATCCTCACAAGGGTCGTAGACAGAAAATGTACATTTAAGGTTCCAAAGACAATGCCAAAGATGTAATATCAAAGGTGTGAAAAAAATCTTCCGCCCACAGGGTTTTGTGTCATGAAAATAAGATATGCCTGACTTATGGAAGGTGCTTGAAGGCAATTTTCTCAAAGAAGTTTGGCATCCATGTGTCATTTGAAGAAACCTGTCAGCAAATTGGTAGTCCGAGTAGGTTACATTAAGCACAAGGGTAGGATCTTTTCTTTCGAAAACATTTCTTTACATTTTGTATCGGCTGATGTGTTTAGTTTCTTCACAGTTATCGGATATGTATGATTTGCTAATTAAAAGTCTGAACTCAACTAAATCTGATGGTTTAGCTTGTTCCATGATTGGAGGCAGATTATTTCGTGTGATGCTTACCTTTGACAACCTGGAAAATTGTAACTTTGGGAGCGTGACTATGACTATGGTCACCCTAAATATCTTTCTAGCCCCATCCCAACTCGTCATCCTATAGATTAGATGTCATAGCCTAATACGTAACTTTCGTGTGCTCGCAGTTTATAACAGTCCTTCAGTATGCTCGTTACCCTAGTATGTCTTGTACTGCAGGGCATGGAGGCTTTGAATCGTTATTGGTGTAAAATTTCTAGAGGTTCATGCGGCAACCATGTGTGCAGTTTGTCCAATGGGTATGCCAAAACAATTGAGGGTTAATTTGACTGCAATTTGAGCCAAAGTTTTCAGATCCTGGACAAATACCATACAAATTCATTTTTTCCCTGTTTACTACGATCACGGAGCTTCATACGCATTGAAATCACAAAACTGCAAACTTGATTTTATGAAGATTATCATGATGTAGATAGAATACACTGCGTTCTTCATAAAATTTCAGGAGCAAAACTGGACTCTATATTGTAGCTTGCAGAGTACGATGTGGATACATCAGAACATGCCAGCTTTCAAGTGCTGTGACCCGGACGTCGTTGTGACAGATTTAATGAAGTTGAAATGATAGAACGTGGACTTTAGTCTGTCCATTCATATGACAGAGTTAAGTGAAACATGTATGCTACCTGGAAGTGCTTGCTAAGACGGTTTATGTCATACGCCAATTCAACATTCCTTTGAAACTCCCTCACAGGAACCAAACCTCCTCTGGTTAAACGTTTAAACTGATCAGGAAACATTTTCTCAAATTGATCCTCATCAAGCAGATGTCCAGCGAGTAAGAAATTACAGAGCATGCACTACGAACTATATCAACCTAGAGACTTCAGTGATACTACTGTAAATCTACATGGTGGGCATAAACGGAGCTTTCAACTTCATCAACTCGGCGGAGGTGATTTTGAAAGCCTGGAGGAGGACCTCGTCTTCAATGCCTGAACCAAAGATGTTCCTGGGCAAAGAGATGGTGCCGGCGTTGGAACTACCGAAAGCAGAGATGGCGAGAACACTCTTCTTCTTGGACATGTTGATCTGGAAGTGAACAAGACCCTGAGGGAACACGAACAAGTCACCCTCATGGAGATGGGCGGCGTACAGCTTGTTGGCAGAGTCGATGAGGCCGACGTCCAAGTGTCCGGCCATGACGTAGATGAGCTCTGATCCACGCGGGTGAGTGTGGGGAGGGTTCAGAGTGTTGGGCTTGTACTCGAGGAGGGTAACGCCGACGCCAAGTCCAGTGAGAGCGGGGAATTCGACATGCGTAACCTTCTTGGAGCCGAAGGTGTTTGGAGCAGCAGAGAAGTTTCTGAGTCCTGTGAATGTGAAGAAATCTCCAGTGATCATGGAAGCGTTCATTCCTACTGGGACGGCGAAGTCAGTTGTGAGCTCGGGGTCACGGGCACAGATGGCAACTACGGTTGTCATCATCAGGACAAGTAAGAGCTTCATGGTGGCCATGATTCCTTAATGATTTCGATGTGTAGATCTGCAAGCCAGCATTTTGGTAGTTTGTAAATAAAAGGATAACCCCAAGCAGTACATCGAAGATATCTCACAATTTGTAATATCTGAGCCGATCGATCTGCAACGAAGATCCCAACACAAATTCCAACCTCAACATTTCTACTAGTACTAGCCAGGTCTAGAGAGGTGCTCATGCAAGTGCGCAGATATTCGTGTTCAGTAGCGACAAAGAGCCAGAAATGAATTTAGAATTGGAGAGGAACTTACTTTGACCGATGTTGGAGCAGGTTACTCGCTCACTACGCTGAGTTCCGATTATGTTATGCTGAATGCCTCTTTATATACCCGAGAGAGTTATACACTACTTCTGGCTCTTTCTTCCCATGGAACTCATGTAGGGAGCATCATGTAAGCTTTCCAGCCTGTAGCTGCAGCGTGTCGCGAAGTTTCAAAAAGTGGAGCGACAACTGCTGTGCATCGGTGACCTCATCGAGCTCAAGTACAAGCGAACCAACTCTTGAAAAAATGTACTTCCCAATTTGTACTTACTCTTCACTTGATGATGATGTTTGTACTGACACTAAATGGTGGTTGTATCCATTTGCCCAGCCCAGTGCATATCAATTTGCCAGTTTACTGCAATCCCAACTATTAAACTGAGGCCTGAAGTCAAATCGTACTCACTGCGATTGAGAAGAACATCCTCACGTGGTCTTCCAACTGTTATATGCACGACCTTTTATGATGTGACAGGCATGCAATTCCTTGTTATACAGTCTTGAAATAAAAAAGAGAACAACTCTCGATGTCGCGATCCAACAGTTTTGGGACAACAGTTGTTATCTTCTATATCCTTTCTTGTCTTCAGCGCATGTAGGGACTACTGAACGTTATCGCAACACACGCCATTCGACAAGTTATACAGGGGAGGAAACCAAAACACCTGCATCATCACATGCAGGGAAGATCCAGAACGACCATAGAAGATACTGGCACCTACTTTCCGTTGAATGGATGGACTGTTGAGCTGGGTCGCTCAGTATGTGGCTCGACGATGTAACTGTTGCCCTGCATACTGGGTGACTCAGTAATAACCGAGAGTCGAGGTCTGGAGATTTCCTGGAAACTGCACCTCGGTATTACCATCTTGATGGAATGTCCTGGAAGATCAATGCTGCAAAGGCCACTTACACCAGCAATATGACGTAGTAGTATGTTGGGGAGTCGATGCCTTCCTAACATTCGGAATTGATGCATCCAAGTGCACTGATTGGACTTCATGAACGTGGATCCACAACGTGAATTTGAAAATATTTTATCGAGTGCCTATCCATAAATATTCTTTGTCATTCAACCATGAACAGATAATGAAGGGAAATGCGAACAGAGCTGAAGCGAAGGATTAGTTCGTTTGCGGCATGCTTCCATCACAGCAACCTCGTAAACCTGAATGCAAAATCTAGGAATGATTAGTAATGGAGAATGGAGGATAAGTAGACACCTATTAGAGATTCTGTGAAAAAGAATCTTCTTTTGTCAAATGATAACAAAGGCCATGTTAATTCATTGCTGTGTGCTGTGAATCATCCGTGAAACGCCAAATTAACATCAGAAGATCTCCATGTGCCGAGCTTGTGTTTTGCTCAGTATTCATTGGAAGGCCCGTGAGAAGCGGCCTGTCGTGTCATGTGGCGGCGTGCAAGATCCACTGACCGTCCTCGTTTTGCACACGTTCAGAAGCTACGTCCCCTGTTAACACTCATGTGTCAAGCAAGTTGTCCGTCCAGGTCCATTTGTTCTCTACAAATTTGGCCACCTGCGAGATCGAGTGGAGTATCACAATTTTCCATACATACGTAGGCTAAAGTCACTGAATAATCTTCGACACCTTCCAGTTTGTTTCCCAGGTCCAGTTAGTAGTCTAGTAGATTGATGGGTTTCATATCGTCTACGGAGAATGACCACTGAGCGTTTACAATAACTGAGTCTCGATTCTCAAATGTCTGAAGGATTCAACCTGATACTACCTCTGTAGTAATCGAGTTGAATTTTTCCACTCGAAGCTCAGTGCATGGCAAAGATTGCAGCTCCTAGCAAAGTCCAGCGTTCACATTTCTATGCATGTTTAGGAGTAACTTGACTGCGGAATTATGTCGATTGTTTACCTTTCACCGAAAAGTAGTGCAGTTAGTCAAATGTGCCTCGCTTTTGTTTGAATAAATCAAGCAAGACTCCAACACTTTGTTTATAAGAAGTGGACCACATACTCGGGAATCAGCTTGAAAAGCGTAGGATGTAACCTTGTCGATTTTGTGGAGTGATAGAAGTGGCAATGAACTCTGACTATGGGACCTGTATTTCATTTCTAGTGCTAGCAACTCACGCAGATCGAATTCTCAGAACACAAAACTTCGTGGGGAAAGGTATCTTTTACACTGGGTCTGTTTCATTGACATTTACATGTTTTGAATTGTCATGTTTTCGTACATTTTCTTTCTACTACCCATATGGGGATTTGTAATGGAATTCCCTTGTACAGCTACTTCTCTACTTTCTGCTATTGTCGTGAATCCCACTAAAAGGTAGAAGTACTTCAAGAAGAAGAAGCAGCAATATTCATAACTGACGCACATCTTTTTCTCATAACACAACTTTATGGGAAGAGGAATTTTTCACAGTAAGTCGGACTCGTTGATATTTACATCTTTGAATTGTCATGACATTGTACATTTTCTTTCTACAACCCTTCTGGGGATTTGTAATGGAATCCCCCTGCACAGCTACTTCTCTACTTTTTTGCTATTGTCGTGAATCCCATAATCCATGGGCTCCATGACGTTCGAATTTACTCTGCAGTCCTACCTATCGTGACAAAATTGGTTCGGTGATCCAAGATCTAGGAGCATCACCAATGCCTTCTTCTAATAAATGGCCACTATTCAGTGGCCCGAAGTTATAATGAGCTCAGCTGATCAGGATTTCAGAACAAAACTCCGGCAGATTTACTGCCGACGGGCACCATCGGTGTCACTGCTGGTCTCCTTCCGAGTAGCACTGCGATCTTTTGCTGGAAGATGGTTGCATCTTCACGTTGCTCAACAGGCAAGCGCAGCGTTTGATCGATGGACCTCTCGACTGCAGCATAATAGCCCGCGCAGTTTCTGTACACCTCAGTCACAGCGCCCATCTGAAGAGCGTGTGTGAACGTATGCACGAACAGGGAGCCCACGGTAACTGCTGCAGCTACAGCTGGACAGCCAGCCATGTTCAAAACAACACCCGCTGTAGCGAGCATAGGAGAGGTGATCGACAAAATCAGGTTGAGACCCTTGGCATCGTTGGCCATACTTGTGTATTCTGGAACATCGGACGTGCGCAGAAGTTCAGCCGTGTGCCTGAGGTCTTCCACTGCAGACCATGTCCATCCATTTTTGTGAGAATTTGGTGACACTTCAACCTCAGGTCGAGCGAGATCTACATCGCCACTGATCTTCGATGGATGCACTTGCTTGGGGAACTTCTCCACCACAATGGGCGTGAGTGGCAGGGGAAAAGCTCGGTCTAGAGCATGCGCGGTGGCGATCGACTGCTCCCAGTAAATAGATGCTTCTCCGCGCAGTCGCGGATCAACCTGTAAAGTGGCCTCTATATCAGCTCCCAATCGCTTGAAGAAGCGAGCAGCATGTCTTTGCTCTTCAGCAAGCTGTGACGGCTGGAATTTGCTCACGAGCGCCATGAGCGCAGCTGCTCCCATACCAAGAACAATCGCCACGACCTGTAACCCGGAAGCGGGTAAAGCGCCATTAACGGCCGAGGCGATGGCAGCAGCAACGGAGGCCATGGTGATGGTATTGTGGAAGAGTCGGTTCCAGTTGTCCCGTTGGAACGCGAGAATTGAGTGCATCTCGACCCTGTCCGACACCAACACTGAGAGGGCTTCGAATTGACTGACGACGCGCTGGTCTGGCAGACCAATGGCATTTGTCCAGCCCTTTGAGTAATCGGCAACCCTGTCGTGCACAAATTCTACCTTGCCAGTGTCAACAACTTTCTCCTTCGTCAAAGCTAAACCGGCTCTGATGAGTGTGCGTCTGTTGGAAGGACGGATGTGCGCACTGCGATGTCGATCTTGGGAGTGCAATTTTGTATGCCCCAATCTGGGAAGAACAAGCGAACTACTATCCACCGGTAAGACACAGGAAACAGCGAAAAGTGCCATTTCTGTGATGTGTTTCTGGTGGCCCTTGGAAATTGACAGCCTAGGCAAAGGATGTTGAAGAATAGAAATTTGGGTTTTGATCGGGATATGAGAGAGCCTGTACGCTTCTGAGCTTGTCCTCGGTCGGTGTTGTACGTAGTTGGACAATGATGTTGTGGGTTGGGAGCTTCTGCTGCTTATAAAGGTTTGCCATGGAACCATGGAACTCCGGAGAGGCCAGTTCTGACACGCGGCTCAGCTCGCGGCTGCGGCTGATTTGCCCTTGGAACTGGACTGCATCGTTTGACTTCAAACAAGGGACGCGAGTATTGTACTACGCGTTGATCAAAGTCAAAACCCTCCTTGGACCTTTTCTGCCGAGATCTTCAGTATACGGATGCGGGTGTAAGGTCAGGACTGCCTAGATCTCCATGACTGCGGCCGGAGCACATTATCCTGATTTCTGACTTAAAGGCTTCAATTACTTCTACCTTTTTGTCCTTAATCCCGAAGGGTCCGCGTTGATGAGCCGAAACGAAAGACGTTCAGGACCGCTTGAGGTTAGACTGTGACAAGGTTCAAGTGACTGAGTCGTGTATCAAGTTCGGAGTTAGTTTCCCAAGTCCCCCTTTCCAAACCCTAACCCCAGCATGGCTGCCTGGACTCCGATGATGCATCCATTGACGGAGACCGCTGAAATATTTATCTCCGTGGGCTGGTTCACGACCATTCGTCCTTAGATTTTCCTGGTTATTACCATTGGTAAGGAGGGCAAGATGACCAAAGTGCCAACAGCTTTTGTAGTCGCACCATGGCTCGTCATCAGGTGGATCTAAAAAGGTCGCTATGGGTACACGGTGGGTTTCCCACACAGCTTATCAGCAGCAAAAGCGGCATCAGTGCAGAACTGTTCTTGATGAACAGGTCATCACCGCGAGTAAGCTCACTGTCTGCTTTCCTAGGTAAGGTCAAATTTCCCCATGTCCCCACCTCGTCGTGATCGACGACGCGGTCAGTAGAAATATAGTTCAGGGGTAACAAACCTCAGGGATCAGGCCTCATGGCCACATTGAGTCCAGGTGTCCCCTAGAGAACTGTCGGATGTAGCATGAAACAAAGACAGCCGCAGAGGACCGCGCCTCTTCATATCCAAGCCTTGAACGTGTCCCTCACAGAATGCTTACGTGGTTGGCCAGGTCATGTCGAAGACCTGAATGAATACGATACAGCGTCAAACATGAAAGCTAACAATCTTCGGTTAGAAACTTTTCCAAGACTGTAAATATGGAAAATGAAACCACTTATTATCATTAAAATAGGAATTTTTAGATAAAAATAGTGAAATCCTACACAGTGTTGACACTCAGGTTTTAGGAAGCAATAAATATTTTGATTTGAAATTTAACTATTAAGCTTGAAAAACTACACTAATACAGACTTATTTATATATATTATTTATTTATCTACATATATGTGTCCGACCTGACACTGTAAAAGGTAGTTTAAAAGGTTTGCCCACCCTAGTGTACATGTGTGAGACTCATAATGCTTGAAATTCAGTGAATTTTCAATCCATTTATATGACTTGAATCTATGGAGGTAATTTCATTTCATGGAACAAAATTTTAGTTTCAATTGTGTAATCATTTCTTTTAGGATTTTTCTGCAATTAATAATAAAATACAATGCATACTTTTGTTTCTATAGCACTGAAATTTCATATAGACCAATTGTGACTATAACATGAAAAATGTGTTAAATTTCAACCAAAAAAATAAATCTATTTTGTAAGTATTGTCTTGCAAGATTAATTTTAAAAATTAAATTTTTTTAATTGAAAAAATTGATCTAAAATTAAATCAAACTTTAAAGATAAGATAAGAGTGAAATATGTATATATGTTCGATCATCTACTGTTCTTATAAAAGAATATTGAACGACAATAATTTGGTTCAGCATGTAATTCCTCTAAAACAGATAAAATCATAGCTTTTCTACGTCATTGAGAATTTCACCACTTTTCACAGATGACTTACTTTTTGGAGTAACAACACTGAACTGGAAAGAGCGAAACAATGGAATTAGCTTTAGACGTACCTACGACAATAACAGTGTAATGAAGCATAAATTGGTTGCATGATTATGTGCGCCTGGGTTAACCTCTTTCGCTTTTATTTGATACCATGTTAAATATTTCGGCTGTTTAAACGTTCACAACTTCAATGTTCGATATTAGAGGAAGATAGTTAAAGAAGATCTTTCTTTTTCAATCGTAGGCATATTTCGAGATTGGTCACCTTTAAATTGTACAAAATATATGGTTTTTGTTTCTGACCACTTGCCATATCATATTTCACTTTTTTGGGTCTACCAAGCGCAAGGAAGATTTGACGTGTTCAATTTACAGAATTGCAAACTTAACTGTATAGGAATTGTCCTGACGTAGACAATTATACGTAGAACTCAAATGAATAACAGTGTATATTATCAGGTCTATGTGTCGATTGTAGAACACAGCGTGGATACATCCATTTATACCAGTTTACCAGGGTTTCAAATAGAATCCACCAGCTTCTCCACACCATGTGAAACATAGCTTCTTACCACAAATTGAAATGACAAACGAATGGTAGAAACTGGACATTCGTTTGTCATTTCAGTTCACAGACATATTTAAACCGAACAATTAGACATTCTCAAGGGAGTAATTGTTTTCAGATTTCGCGAAGTGAAAATTTCTTTAAAAGATTCTCAAAGGGAACACACTGCTTCTCATGAAAATCTGAAACTTTTCAAGATATATGTCCGAGAATTGATCCGCATCGAGCTCATGGAGAGAATATATGAAAGTACTGAGCGACCAGGACACACTTTATCCTGCGTAGGACTTTGATTCTTGATACTGTAAATCTACATGGTCGGCGTGAATGGAGCTTTCAATTTCATCAACTCGGCGGAGGTGATTTTGAAAGCTTGGAGGAGAACCTCGTCCTCAATACCAGATCCAAAGATGTTCCTGGGCATCGAGATGGTGCCGGCGTTGGAGCTACCGAAAGCAGAGATGGCCAGAACACTCTTCTCCTTGGACATGTTGATCTGAAAGTGGACAAGACCCTGAGGGAACACGAACAAGTCACCCTCATGGAGATGGGCAGAGTACAGCTTGTTGGCAGAGTCGATGAGGCCGACGTCCAAGTGTCCGGCCATGACGAAGATGAGCTCTGATCCACGGGCGTGAGTGTGGGGAGGGTTCAGAGTGTTGGGCTTGTACTCGAGGAGGGTCACGCCGACGCCGAGTCCAGTGAGAGCGGGGAATTCGACATGCGTAACCTTCTTGGAGCCAAAGGTGTTTGGAGCAGCGGAGAAGTTTCTGAGACCTGTGAATGTGAAGAAATCTCCATTGATCAAGGAAGCGTTCATTCCTACTGGAACGGCGAAATCGGTTGTGAGCTCGGGGTCACGAGCCCAGACGGCAACGATGGTTGTCATCATGAGGATAAGCACGAGCTTCATGGTGGCCATGATTACTGAAAAATTTCGAGCTTAAGATCTGCAAGCCAACATATTTGTTGTGAGCTTGGTTAGAAAAAATGATATTCCCAAGCAGTACTTTCAGCATACATCACAAACTCAATTATCTGAGTTGATCAATCTGAAACCAGGATCGCAACCCAATCCAACTTGACATATCTAAAATCACCAGCCAGGTCTAGGGAGTTGCTCATGAATGTGCGCAGATTTCGTAGCCACCAATGATTATAGAATTGGTGAAGAACTTACCTTGACTTCTAAAAGAGCAGGTCAGTAGCTCACCTCGCTGAGTTCCGGTTATGTTGTGTTCAAAGAGAGTTATGTACCCGAGAGAGTTATACAGTGATTTTGGCTGTTTTCTCCCATGGAACTTTTGTAGGGAGCATCATGTAAGCTTTCCGGCCTGTCGCTGCAGCGCTTGGCGAACTGTCGAAACTGATGACCTCATCCAGCTCACGTATAATCCAGCAAAGTCTTGCTAAAATGTACTTCCCAATTCGTCCTTACTCCTGGCTTGATGGTGATGTCTGTACTGAGTCTATATGGTGGTCGTATCGGTTAGCCCAGCCCAGTGCATATGAGTTCGCCTGTATGCTGCAATCCCAACTATCAAACTTGTGGGTTGAGGTCGAATCTTACTTACTCCGATGAAGATAACAGTCTCACGTGCTCTTCGAACGGCGGTATGCACGACTCTATGTGATGCTACATGAAGTGCAATTCCTTCGAATCATTCCTCCAGAAAATAAACTAGACTCGTAATATCGCAAATCCAACCGCATGGGGACAACAATTGCGATCTTCTATATCCCTTCTTGTCTTCAGCGCATGTAGGGCCTACAGAACGTAATTGCGACAAAAGTCACTTTTTTATGTCGACATTCGACAAGTTCTACAGGGATGAAAACAAAACAGCTGCATCTTACTGTCGAAGACTGTCGAATTGGCACCATCGTCCTTTTGAATGGATGCACTGCCGAGTTCGATGGTTCAATATGAGTCACAAGTATCGAACTGTTGCCCTGTATTTTGGGTGGCACATAAATTTCCTAACATTACCAACATTCGGAACTAATGCATCGAAGTCCACCGAATTCATAAACGTGGGTCCACAACGTTAATCTGAAAAACATTTATCGAGTGCCTAATTACAAATATTTTTTGTCATTCAACGATCGACATTGAGCTCAAGGTAGAGTTGAGCTGAATCAAACATTTTGTTCGTCAGCGGCTTGTGTCCAGCACTGCAACTTCTATCAGCTTGAATGCAAAATCTAGGTATGAGTAATTGTGGAGATGCAGGTTAAGTGGACAGTCCCGCAGAGTAGTAACAAACTACTGTAGTTGAGACTTTTCTTTTGTCAACTGATAGTTATAATTCTAATTTCAAAGGCTATGTTAATTATTATCTCTCTAAATCCATTAATTCCATCTAGAGAAGTTAGCATCACGCTAAGGTTTCATATTCACACTTTGGTATCTTAATAATGGAAAATTTAATGGAGAGTTTAATCGGACTGTCATATTTCAAACATGCGGAGCCGAAGTTTGGTCTAATACAACAAGCTGACTATTGAACTTGGCTTCTTGACAGAGCCCAAACAAACTTTGAAAAGACAAATTAGTATGCCATCGTCACCCAGATGAACCTAAGCAAATCCGTAACCATCTAGAGTGCCATGCATGCATCTACTTGCAAATCGAAAATTCCTCTTTGGAAAAGTGCCAAATAGTTGGGCTAGTCTGTGTATGGCTCACTTCTCACTCATGCTCTACTGGTGCCCATGTCCGACTCATTCAAGAGTGTGTGCAAGGAGTCAACCCTGAAACGCCAAATTAACATGAGAAGCTCTCCATGTGCTGAGCATGTGTTCTCAGTCATTCATACACAGGCCCGTGCGAAGAGGCTTGTCGTGACATCTAGCGGCGTGCAAGATACACTGACCGATCTCGATTCGCACACGATCAGAGACTGCGTCCCTTGATATCTCTCATGTGTCGAGATGACATTGTCACCGTGACAAGAAAGTAGTATGTCCAGGTCCAGCTTTTTGTCGATAAATTTGGCCACCTGTAGAATTCATATAGAACATCACAGTTTCATATACGTAGGCTAAAGTCACTGAATTGTCTCCCACGCCTTCCAGGTTTCCAGGTCTCCAGGTCTCCCAGGTCCAGTTAGTGGTCTAGTACATTGATGGGTTTCGTGTGGTCTGCGGATAGTGAGCCATTGAGACTCGATTTCCACATCTTTTAATCATTCATACCCCAAACTACCTTTGTAGTCATCGAGTTGAAGCTCTCCACTGGACGGACATTGCATGGCAGAGACTGCAGCTCCGAGCAATGTCCAGCGTTCACGTTGCGTAGAAACGTGTAGGGGAATCTTGACTACGGTATTATGTTGATTGTTTACCTTCTCCGAAATGTATACCAACCAGTCATTTGTTTCTCGTTCTTGTTTGAATCAATCAGGCATGATTCCAACTGTATTATCAAAAGAAATAGGCCACAAGCTCGAGAATCAACTTGAAAGGCGTAGGATGTATTCGTCTGAATTTTGTGGAGTGATGGAAGTGGTAATAAACTCAGACTAGGGGACCTGTATGTAATTCGTACTGCTAGCAATCAGATTGCAGATCAAATCCTTGAATCTAGGTGAATGTCAAACTAGTAGATTGCAGCACTTGCTAATTAGCTGGTCGGTTCCCCCACTGTCACCCTGCATGTCATGCGATATTAACTAGACTTAGAAACGGGGCCCTCTTACTAAAAGTTTGAATGCGAACAACAGGATTGCTATAATAGCGCTACAATTGCTGCTACAATATCAGAACGTTTAGAAAGCGATGAATCTATTTGCTATTTGTTCAAAGCTTCGGCCATAGTTAGAGAAGAAATTAACTGTGACTTCTATGAGAACAAATAAAGCGTTCTGACATGAATATTGATGGCCCAAAGTTTTCCATGATATCAAGAGTAAGCATCACACGAAATGTTCTACTTCTAACCATGGAACAGATGAACGATCAGCGTTACTTGAGGTCACTTTAGTATGATCATTATTTACAAACTGTTGTGAAGATAGTAGATAAATCAGCCGAGATACTGCAGTGAGACATGTTTTGCCAAGAACCGAGGCTACCTTAGTACATTCTATACAGTTCTCGGAGTCCATTGTGCGGACAGGTTCCCTCAGTTGAAACATGGATGCCGAACTTCTTTGAGAAAATTGGATTCAAACACCTTCATAACTCAAACAGATCTTTTTCTCATAACACAACTTTGTGGGGAGAGGAATTTTCACACTGGGTCGGATGCATTGATATTTACATGTTTTGAAGTGTCATGACATTGTACATTTTCTTTCTAAAACCCTTCTGGGGATTTGTAATGGAATCGCCCTGCACAGCTACTTCTCTGCTTTCTGCTATTGACGTGAATCCCACAATCCATGGGCTCCATGACGTTCAAATTTACTCTGCAGTCCTACCTATCCTTACAAAATTGGTTTGGTGAGCCAAGATCTTGGAGCATCACCAAGGCTTTCTTCTAATAAATGGCCACTAGTCAGTGGCCTATAGTTATGATGAGCTGAGCTGACCAGGTTTTCAGAACAAAACTCCGGCAGATTTACAGCCGACGGGCACCATCGGTGTCACTGCTGGTCTCCTTCCGAGTAGCACTGCGATCTTTTGCTGGAAGATGGTAGCATCTTCACGTTGCTCAACAGGTAAGCGCAGCGTTTGCTCGATGGACCTCTCGACTGCAGCATAATAGCCAGCGCAGTTTCTGTACACCTCAATCACAGCGCCCATCTGAAGAGCGTGTGTGAACGTATGCACGAACAGGGAGCTCACGGTAACTGCTGCAGCTACAGCTGGACAGCCAGCCATGTTCAAAATAACACCCGCTGTAGCGAGCATAGGAGAGGTGATCGACAAAATCAGGTTGAGACCCTTGGCATCGTTGGCCATACTTGTGTATTCTGGAACGTCGGACGTGCGCAGAAGTTCAGCCGTGTGCCTGAGGTCCTCCACTGCAGACCATGTCCATCCATTTTTGTGAGAATTTGGGGACACTTCAACCTCAGGTCGAGCGAGATCTACATCGCCACTGATCTTCGATGGAAGCACTTGCTTGGGGAACTTCTCCACCACAATGGGTGTGAGTGGCAGGGGAAAAGCTCGGTCTAGAGCATGCGCGGTGGCGATCGACTGCTCCCAGTAGATAGATGCTTCTCCGCGCAGTCGCGGATCAACCTGTAAGGTGGCCTCCACATCAGCTCCCAATCGCTTGAAGAAGCGAGAAGCATGCCGTTGCTCTTCAGCAAGCTGCGACGGCTGGAATTTGCTCACGAGCGCCATGAGCGCAGCTGCTCCCATACCAAGAACAATCGCCACTACCTGTAACCCGGAAGCGGGTACAGCGCCATTGACGGCCGAGGCGGTGGCAGCAGCAACGGAGGCCATGGTGATGGTATTGTGGAAGAGTCGGTTCCAGTTGTCCCGTTGCAGCGCGAGAATTGAGTGCATCTCGACCCTGTCCGACACCAACACTGAGAGGGCTTCGAATTGACTGACGACGCGCTGGTCTGGCAGACCAATAACATTTGTCCAGCCCTTTGAGTAATCGGCAATCCTGTCGTGCACAAATTCTACCTTGCCGGTCTCAACTAGTTTCTCCTTCGTCAAAGGTAAACCGGCTCTGATGAGTGTGCGTCGGTTGGAAAGACTAATGTGCGCACTGCGATGTCGATCTTGGAATTGCAATTTTGTATGCCCCAATCTGGGATGAACAAGCGAACAACTGTCCACCGGTAAGACACAGGAAACAGCGAAAAGCGCCATTTCGGTGATGTGTTTCTGGTGGCCCTTGGAAATTGACAGCCTATGCAAAGGATGTCGAAGAATTGAATTTCGGGTTTGATGGGGAGATGAGAGACTGTATGCTTCTGAGCTATTCTTCGGTCGGTGTTGTGCGTAGTTGGATAATGTTGTTGTGGGTTGGGAGCTCCTGCTGCTTATAAAGGATTGCCATGGAGCCATGGAACTCCGGAGACAAGGTCAGGACTGACACGCGCTTCGGAGCGTGGCTGAAGCTGATTTGCCCTGGGAACTGGACTGCATCGTTTGACTTCAACGCAGATGAGGGACGCAAGTATTTTGCTTCGCGTTGACAAAGTCAATCGCCCAATTTGGTGTTGTGGTCTGCAGGATACAGATGCTCGTTAAAGGTCACTACGTGAGGTAGGACTGGAGCTCGACGACTGCGGCCCAAGAACATTCTCCTGAAGTTTTTCACTTAAAGGGCTCACTTGTCCGTAATGGACCAAACAT